ACCTTGTCAAGTCTTGGCTTTTCATATATTTGGGACAATCAGTTTGATATAGATATACCATATAATACTATTAAACAAAGATTAATTGACACCTTTCTACAAAGTTGGTATGCATCTATCAATAATTCACCAAGATTACAAACATATTGTATATTTAAACATTCTTTTGAAATGGAAAAGTATTTAGATTATGTCCAAGAAAGTAAATATAGAACTGCTTTAACTAGATTTCGAACTTCTTCCCATAATTTATCTATAGAAACTGGTAGATACGAAAACATTCCTAGAGAACAGCGATTATGTAAATCATGCAATATGAAGCAAATAGAGAGTGAATACCACTTTCTCCTTGTGTGTCCCAACTACCGAGATCTTCGAACAAAATATTTTAAAAAATACTACTGCCATTGGCCTACTATGAATAAATTAGATAGTATCTTGTCGTCAGACTCAAAGAAAACTATACGTGCCTTAGCTAAATTTTTGTATTGGGCAAATCATAAACGTATATCTTAATCTGATATTTTTTCTGAAAAACTATATTGTTGATCAGTACAAGTATTATTTGTTCCCATATTGACTTGTATTCTTCAGAAAACTTGTGTATAATTGTTAACTGCTATTTTTCTCACTGTACATGTGTATCATTGTAAATTGGCTATAAGCAATGTATTTTGTTTTATGCTTAATAAAATTCGTATTCGTATAATAACAATGATTAAAACATTGACCTTAATTATTATAACTCATTGAGCATAATTGCTTATCTTGTCATAATGTACAGTTTAGTTTTGTAACCATCAAAGATTTTGTCAATATGTTAAATAACAACACATCTGTTTACTTGATTTTTAAGAATCAAAGTAAAACTAATTAACACAACATGATATAAACTGTATATTATAGCAGCTACTCCCATGTGCCACCAAAAAGGATTCCATTGAAAAGCATGCCGTTCAGCGGTGTCAGTCGTTTATTCAAATATAAATTGTAACCTTTATGCAGGCCTGTCGTGCTGAGTACAAATTTACAAGTTATAGATACAAAATCAACATGAATGATAGAATATTTTATATAGAAGTAAAATGGACATCATATATCGTATTTTGCCCTATTCAACAAATTGACACAACAAAGGCAGATGCTTCGTTTCATCTTGCAACATTATGGCTTTTTCCATTGTTTACCATAAAGGCAACAAATGTGTTACGTCATTGACGTATGTGATAAACTGCCGTAAATAATACTCGTGTTTATGGTTGCAAAAGAAAGAGGAACAACAATAAGCGCACAGGTTTATTAATACAACACAATACTTGTCAAATAAGTAAACAATGAACAGTCAAACTGCAAATACACTTATCGTAAAGGCATGTTAGCAGTCATATGTAAATTATTTAAGCAAAGTAAATTTATAGTTGCTTTTATACAATAATAATTTATTTGTTGTAACATTGTTTATTAAAAAAGAGAAACAGTGTTTCGATATAGACTTTTAATGAAAAGAAAATATGAATGGGAACCTAAAAATTGTAGAATGATACAAAAACAAATACATTATTTTGCAAAGCAAGAGTTAGGGTTAAATATCGTTTTTTTCACACATTTTCTGTGATGTCATCAGACTTAGTTTCTTCAAGGGTTAAATCAATTTCTTTAATATTTTAGTGATTTAGATATTGAAAGAAAACTCTTTAGTACATTGCCATTAGCCTGGTAAAAAAGCCATTTGTCAGTTATGAGATTAAATGAATTAACTAGACCGTGAACAAAATTTTCATTTTGATTGAATATCTTTAAAGTAATTGCATTTTATGGTCTAAATTTCATGCTTACGCACGTTCACCGACTTAACAGCTATTAACCCTGGTCATGATATATATCTATCAACCTCCCTGGGGAGTCTTTTAACTCCGCTAAGTGCAGCCGACACTTGGCGCAACGGAATTATACCACCCTCGCAGGTACCCATTTACACCTGGGTGAAGTGAAGCAATCGCAGGTAAATTTCTTGCTCAAGAAAATGAGCAGTGCCCCTGAAGGGGTTCTAGCCCGGGACCTCTCGATCCCTAAGCGCGCGTCCTACCACTGGACTACTGCTCCTGACTTTTCCTGATTAAATGTCTTTATCGAAACACTGTCTTTCTGCTTTAAAGACTTTTTCTGAAATATCTCCAAAAAAATTGAAATTGTAATCTCATCTAGCCGATCGTTAAATTAGTAATTTGCAGCAAAAAAATCTCTCATGTCATTACCGGTAAAGTTAGCTGCTTTAAGCAACGATTCAAAAACATATATAAAACGTGTTAAAACTATACATCACTGGGATAAAATAATGGTTCTTATTAGAAAGAAAAATAATCTTATATCTATAATGAGGAACTTTTTTTTTGTCTTTTGACGGTATTTCAATAATAGAACTTAAATGCAAATCTGTGTGATTTTTTATCTTAATGAAGTTGAACTAGAAATGTGTCCATAGGACACGGGTTCCCCCACACTCCACTGTTTTGTCAATCCTAGAACTCTAGGTCAAATATTTTGGGCTACATGTGCCACAAGTTAAAAACTAAAAATCCTTTACTAACTTAAAAGCAAGAACTTTACAAATACTGGAAAAAACACAAGAAAACCCCAAGGTGCATAAGTACACACGATGACAGACATTTTTGTTAACTTTCAGGGCTATAGGTCAAATACTTTTTGAGCTATGCATGAACAAATTGAAAATTGCAAATTTATACTGAGTCAAGGGCAATAACTCTGACAAAATAGAAAGCAAACTACAAGCGAAACCCCAGGTGCACAACTTCACATGCTGATCAAAATTGGAAAAAGAATCATATGCGAAACCCCATAGTGATGTTGATCATTATTCCTGTAAAGTTTGTTGATTCTTTCTCAAGCACTCAAGGAACAAATAACAAAACATAATGGAACGATTTTACAAAGTAAAGGGTCATAATTCTGGATCCACAAGCGAAACCCCAGGTGCACAACTACTTATGCTCACCAACATTCCTGTTAGGTATCATGACTCTAGGTTAAATACGTTCTGAGCTACGCACGACACAAATTGAAAATTGAATTTTTTTACTAAGTCAAGGGCAATACCTCTGACAAAACAGAAAACAAAACACAAGCGAAACCCAAGGTACACAATTTACTGATCAACATTCCTATAATGTTTCATGAACCTAGGTCATACATTTTAAAATACGTGCGACACAAGTTGACAATTGCAAATTTATAATTAGTCAAGGGCAAAAACTCTGCAAATGCTAAATAAACCTACGCGAAAATACCAAGATGCACAACTACACATGCTGATCAACATTCATGACTCTAGGTATAATACTTTTGAGCTACATGCGACACAAAATGAGAACAAATGGACGGTGTCGCTAATCTGTCGCTAATCGCGAGAGAAATTCTTTACAGGGCATTGTCCTAACATTTGATAATTTTATTATCAAGCTTTAGATGTTTACATTTTGTTAATATCCAGAAAAATAGTTATTTTTACCAGGACATTTCATTGGTTAATTGAGGAAATCTCATCACCATTTTTGGATGTAGCTTTTTGGTGTAATTTGCACACGGCTCTAAAGATATTAACTTTGGGCGTTGCCTTGATTTTTGAAGAGTGAAAAAGAAACTTTTGTAGAAGTAACATCTAAAAAGTAATAAGAATAAAAGAGAAGAAAAATAATGTTAAAATTTTGGATAATTAAAAATATAGAACTGTAAAAAACTGTTTAAAAGAGAGAAAAATAAAAACTGTAAAAAGTTGAACCGTGTTAATTTTAATGTGGCGGAAAAACAGATAATATATCACAGGTCGCTACAGACGGATGGACGGACAGACAGAAGAATTAGGGTAAATCTAAATGCCCCCTTTTATAGTGAAGCACAATAATAACTTTAAAATGAAAAATGAACACATTTTTTACTGATAAATGAGTTATGCTCACATTAACTGGAATTGGCAATTTCAAATTCAAAGCAGGGCAAGTACCATACTAAGAAAACAAATATAAAACAAAAACGATTAAAACAACTAAAACAATATTAGCTTTATTATTATCAATTTATCAACACATATTTAAATTATGCATATGTAGTGTCTAAGCAAATAACCACAAAAAATGCATTATCGTTTTGGTGTTACACGATGTTAAGAAAATCGGAAACTATGCGTTAAGTGCAACTTTTAAAACATTTAAACTGCTTGTACATGCACATTATATAGTATATACGGTCCTGTTACTGGAAAACGTCTTTTTAAAAAATCTGAAGCACATTACTATGATGACAGTTTATGATATTATATTTCCATTAAATGACACCAAATATTTAAAACCTTTTTTGTCCTAACATATATTCCAGCAAATGATAAAATTACTGTAGTATTATACGATTTTTGTACCTTCACGTTTTAACATTCATTTAGATTTTTAGATCTTTAATTATTTCCATGAAATGCTCAAATTGAATCTCTGCCTCGTCTTCATTTTTGCCTTTCCTCCAGCATAACATTTTCTCGTTATACACCGGTGTGTGTTCTGTTCCAGACTTTTCTTGTATTCTTACTCTCCCATTTTCTTTTTTGCTTATTGCTGCTACCTCTCCGACATAGATGCTCTTCTTTTCATCCCTATAGCATATCTGATTTCCTTTTTCCAGATTACTCACATCTATCTCTTCCCATAACTGTTAAGTGAAGACGACAATAACATTAAAATCTTAATAATCAAACAGACTTCTTGCTAATTAATTAATATTATTGAAAATTTGTAAATGTTCGGTAAAAGAATGAACAAATCTATAAACGCTTTTGATATTCTGGGATAAATAGGGATTTAACTGTAACTTATCCTAACAGTCTAAATTTTATAGTGAACATTATATAAAATAACAGAAAACTGATCATGCGTATATAGAGTTATTTTAAACATACAAGAATCAATACTGTATTAATAGTTCAAAGTGCATATATCTTAATATTTTATATATTTGCAAACCTTCAGTTCATCTAAGATAGCCTTTTTAGTTCTATTCTGTCTTATTTTAATATCATCTCTGTTCTCACATAGCTGGAATAGTCAAAATAACATAAATATATACTCGAAACCTAACATACTCAAAATGTGTAGTTTAGAAGAAAATATTTAGAAAAGTTTAGAAAAGTACAAAGTACAAATATTGTCTTATAAAACAAACTTTCTACTTAATCTCTTAATACAAGAGGTTTTAAGTGCAATGTGTGAAGCGAATAAAAAAATTATTAGTTTGAACAAATATTGTTCATTCAAATAAGTAATAGAAAGAGCACCGAAACACGAGGCTATCTGATTTGTACGAGGGGGCGTAGCCCCCGAGTATAAATCAGATTGCCGAGTGTTTTGGTGTTCTTTCTCTTTTGTATCATAGTCAAACATGACAGCACGTTCCCTGTTGTCATAATATGAAACCCCAGAAAAAATTAACCAATGAACGAGCATTTGAATATGATAGTTCTGCCCCTTTCCCTTTCTCTGCCGTCACAATATGTAAACCCCGGCAAAAATGAACCAATCCACGGGCATTATCTGGAGTGCGGGTAACTGATACCTGCACTCCAGTTACCGCACTGTGCATGTATATGTATACGATTTTACTCTGACACTTTTTCAACAGAAAGGTCCCCAAACTATGATACAAGACTGTAATAAATTATATCATTTTCTGTTATCTTTCTATAACAAAATTTGTCCTGTTATATTAAGCCATCTGTGGAGAAATATTATGAAAAGATATTTCATGTCAAAATTTCAATTTGATGATTAAAAGCTGTTAAAAGTATCCAAAATATTATCCCGTCACAAATGCTTCGTCTCATACGAGTATACATGTATATTAAATATAAATCCAACAATTTGTCATCAATTTGACCCCTAAGAATAATCCAACAATTTGTCATGACATTGGACCTATAAGAATAACACTGACCTTACAAAGATAAACATTTGAGCCATATTGCATAAAAGTCCATTTATGCGCGCTAAAGTTTGATGAAGTGATGCAAAAAAAAAACGTTTTCTAGCGTATGATCAATACTTTTGACCATGAGTTTACCTTTACGTCTGATATAAATTTATATAAGTTTAAGTTTATGGTTCATATCATCAAGTTTATACGCCAGTGCAACAATTTTAAGTTTTTAAGAAGAAAAAAAAAATTAAACAGTTTGATTTCCGACACAATTTCTACAAAGGCCGACATCTATGTAATATCAGTTTATATATCAGTTGGTCTTGCTGTCGAAAAATTAAGATCATGTTAAAAGATAATTATGTTTTGATCTTTCCCTTCCCAAACTTCAGATTTAATGTACTTATTTCTTTATCAAACAATTGATCATATGAAGTTATATTACGTACCATTGCCACCCTTTTTTGTTGGTCCAAGAACCACTTTTCATCCCTTTTAATAAATCCGGCTACTTGTTGTGTAGTTCCCAATTCAATAATCTTATCACAATGATGTCTGATCAATTCAATGTTTTTTTCGATAACTTTTATGGTTGCTTGAATTTCTTTTGAAGTAAAGTTTGATTTCTCGGCCTTGTTTAACTCCTCTTCAACAAAGCTTTTCCGAGCGTCGCGTGATTGTATCTGTTTTTCCGTAATATTTCTGCTCATTTCAGTCGTATCTCTGTAACAGATAAGGAATATATTTTTTTAGTATCTAAACACATATAGCTTATCACATTGAAAGAGGTCTATCGAAAACAATTAATCAAAGCACATTAGGCGCTGAATTTGTTTGGGTCTAAGAATGTCAGAAAGGTGAGGGTTGTGAGATTATAAACTAATTTGTTTTTGTATAATGCCAGCACTGTTGTTCCCAGTGTTATAACTGTAAATAATTGGCTATAAGGCTCATTGCAACACTGATATCAAATTCAAAGTTTATTTGGCTTAAACAATTTGTTATCCAAAAAGAAAAAAAAAACAATATGTGTTGCCTTAACTTTACTTTGAACCCCAGACCTCTCGCGTCTGAAACGAGTGTGTAACCCCTGGACCATGAGATTGTTGTAAGTAAACAGCATGAAGCAAACCACATTCTTCTAAATTAGGATCCTTATTTATTTCGAGATATTTTGTTTACGGTAAATTTGTTGTTCAAATGCTAATAAAATTCCTAAATATTTTTTAATGAAGCCAGAAACCGGTGTAATAGGACCCGGAAAGTCTCTAAAGATCAAATGTATCATTATCTCTAATAAAATCAAATCTTCTCTGAAAGTCTGCAAGAGTTCCAGTAACAGTCTTAGACTTTTGAGTGTTTGTTGATATCAAAGATGTTGTTATTTCAATAAGCACGAAAAAGGTCTGAGACTGCTAAAAGGCTACATAAATATTTATAAATGTCTAGACTTTCCTAATTCGTTGCTCACTTTAAAATTATTTCAAGGTACCTTAAATAACACGGCAATTGGGGTAAACATTTACAGTTTTATGCAAATGTTGGCGTTTTCATAGAATAATCATTTTCTTTTATCACCATTCTTTCTATTGGATTATAAACATCTACATGTCATGAAAATAAAGTTGTCTATATTTGCACAACGATAAAATGATAAAACACATAACAGCAGCTTTGACAAAATGTGGTCGCAATATTTTCGTCTGCAAGATTTTGCTCTTAGCCCGGGGCTTTTGATAGTTTGTTATATAACGTTTATTGGGAAATATTTAAATATGAATACCATACATAAATGAGATTTTTCTTCTTTTTATTTTGTGAAATTTTTTGTCAAAAATCTATTTCAAAAGATCCAATTCAAATGTTCTTGTTTTAAAAACTATTTCCATTGACTGCGATTAAGGGTGATTTCACGGGAGATTACTACGGTCTCACGGTAATCCCGAATATGGAAGAACAGAAAGAATTAAGTTGTGAAAAACTTCCAACAGTTAACTTGACTGAACAGACACTATGAAAATATGTGAGGTCGGACGATGTAAAAACAATTAAGTGAATTAACAGGCGAACGTAAAGATTTCATGTAATTCTTAGTTAAAACTGATTTTTCTGGACGTGAGGAATATATCCTTTCATTATCTTTCATGAAAAAACTCAAACAGAATCAGCAATTTCTTTTTACCTTTTTCCTTTTCCCACAATTTCACTTTAAGAAATTAGATTTCTGATCATTAAGATAAGATAGATCAGAGTCTTGTAAATTATATAATGTACACAAAATTAGGACATTGAAAATTAGTTTTACATTATTTTTTCAAACATTTTGTATTTGTTGTTGTTCGTGTTTCGTTTATATATTGAAGTTTTACAATGCTATAAATTTGAACACGGTCTCGACAAACATCAATTCATGTATTTGCAAAGTTTCCATTCAAGCTTATATCTCAAGACCTGTTGATCTAATCAGAGTACAAAAGTATTTGTATGCGTAACTGTGTATATTTCGTTATTAGAAAATCTTTTATGATGAACTGAATACAAAACATAACATTCAATATTGATTTTGTTAAAAGGCACGCGTATATGCAAAAATAGTTATAAATAAAAACAACAATAAACAATTTAAAAGTGTTAAAGCAGAAATTCAAAAAAACTTACATAAAGAATCATAATACTGCAAGTTTGTCACGTCGTTTGTAATTTTATAATCACAGAGTAAATATAAAAAAATCATGACTTTTATGATTCTCTAATAAAGGAAGTTTTTTGTAATTTCAGCAAAAACAACTTTGCCCGTTTATTGATCCCCGTCAAATTTGGAGAGTAGGATCGGAGAACCATCGCCACTGCCCATTACAAAAACTCTTTGCAATAATTATATATACTTTAACATGACTAATATAGAAATGTTATTTAGAATTTGTAGTACGTTTATGGGGTTTTGTTTTTATAATATAAACAAATTTATACAGAAAACATCCTTAAGCAAACGTTTTTCAAAGACTTTCTATAACATAAAATGAAATAAAAGGATTTGTCTTAATTCTTCATTTTGAAAAAAATAACCAATTTTTTGTTTCAACTTATCCTCTTGAGAGTTGCTTCCCTTTGACCTTCTAATATTTGTTGGAACAAAAAATATTTTCAGCAAAATTAAAGTGGTATTCTTCTTTATTCAATGTCACAAAAATGTTTGAAACATGATTTATATTTAGGAAAATTTTCATATTTACCCAAATATTTACCTACTGGTGTTTTCTTAAAAAGACTCTTATCATTCTGCTACTATGTTCAATAGGAATGAAACATGTAATCTTTTTAGTTTTAACACATTTTGTTTTCCTATCATTAAAAACATATGAAAAGTGTTATTTGAAAATTGGTGCTGTCACTTTGAACACATAATTATATCACTTTCAAAAACTTTACCCATGATTTACTCTACTCAAGTAATTGTAAAAACTATCATGCAATATTTACCTGAAAATTTATAAGAAACTGAGTTGATCAAAAGGAAATTTTAACCATTTTGCAACAATGTGCATTAAGAATAGAACTGTCATATAAAATCAATGTACTGAGATATAACTTTAACAGCTATTTTTTTTCTATGATGAGCAACATTTGGTCAGTGTGTTTTTGTAAAATCATGACAGTCACTTTTAACTTGAATGTCTCTTTAATTTACAAAGAGAAACATATACTCAAGACAAATTAAATGTTTAATTGTTAAGAGCAAAAATAACTGTGTGAAAGTCATTTAAACTAATCATTACTGTTTCATTAAACATAATAAACAAAACAGAGCCAACAATTTGCTTAAAACTATGATATTCTACTGAAAGGAGGAAGGATCAGGGTGGAAGAGAAGGGGAATTGAGAGGGGGGGGGGGAGAGGGGAAAATTATGGAAACTATCAAATAAAAGGTTATTGGTGTAAACTACTTTGGCTTTCGTTTCTGCTGTTTAAATAAAATACGTATATTTAAACAGTGTTTTGGGTTGGTGGAAGGCGCCGTACATTGCAATTTTACCAAACGTCTAGTCTAAATACATAAGAAATGGCTCAGCAAAAGAAAATTAATGTTCTGAATTATATTGAAAGACTAAATTATCATACTTCTCTCATGTCTTTTAAACAAGAACCGGTTGAACCGGGTGATGCTCCCCGAGAAGGTTCTGGACACAGGAAAGTATAAAAAAAATGAACATAGGGCAAAAACTCCAAAATTAGGCAAAGCGGAGTTATGTTTTTTTGCACTGCACTTCTATTCAATGAGATCTATCTATCTATAAAGTTTCCTGATGATATCAGAGTTATGTCCCGGGTAAAAGTCAAAGTGTAAAAATGAACGAAGGGCAATAACTCCAAAATTAGACCAGGCTTTGTTTAGGTTCTTTAAGCATTGCAGTTCTATACAATTATATCTAGCTATCTACAAAGTTTCATGTTGATATCTCTAATAGTTTTAAAGTAATGTCCAGGACAAAAGTCAAAAAGTAAAAATAAACAAAGGGCAATTTCTTCAAAATAAGGCAAGGCAGAGTAATGATTCTTAAGCACTGCACTTCCACCCAATGAGACCTATCTATCTACAAAGTTTCATGTTGATATCTCTTATAATTTTAGAGTAATGTCCCAGACAAAGTTCAAAGTGTCAAAATGAACAAAGGGCAATAACTCCAAAAGTAGGCAAGACAGTGTTACAGTTCTTGTGCACTGCAAACTTACTCAATGAGATCTATCTACCTACAAAGTTTCATGTTGATATCTCTTCTCCATTAAGAGTTATGTCCCAGACAAAGTTCAAAGTGTAAAAATAAACAAAGGGGGATAATTCAAAAATTAGGCATGGCAGAGTTAAGGTTCTTGTGCACTGCACACATACTCAATGAGATCTATCTACCTACAAAGTTTCATGTTGATACCTTTTATACTTTTAGAGTTATGCCCAGGACAAATTTCAAAGTGTAAAAAAACAAAGGGGGATAATTCAAAAAATAGGCAAGGCAGAGTTACGGTTCTTGTGCACTGCACACCTACTCAATGAGATCTATCTACCTACAAAGTTTCATGTTGATACCTCTTATACTTTTAGAGTTATGTCCCGGACAAAGTTCAAAGTGTAAAATAAACAAAGGGGAATAATTCAAAAATTAGGCAAGGCAGAGTTACGGTTCTTGTGCACTGCACACCTACTCAATGAGATCTATCTAACTACAAAGTTTCATGTTGATACCTCTTATAGTTTTAGAGTTATGTCCCGGACAAAGTTCAAAGTGTAAAATAAACAAAGGGGGATAATTCACAAATTAGGCAAGGCAGAGTTACGGTTCTTGTGCACTGCACACCTACTCAATGAGATCTATCTACCTACAAAGTTTCATGTTGATACCTCTTATACTTTTAGAGTTATGTCCCGGACAAATTTCAAAGTGTAAAATAAACAAAGGGGGGTAATTCAAAAATTAGGCAAGGCAGAGTTACGGTTCTTGTGCACTGCACACCTACTCAATGAGATCTATCTACCTACAAAGTTTCATGTTGATACCTCTTATACTTTTAGAGTTATGTCCCGGACAAAGTTCAAAGTGTAAAATAAACAAAGGGGGATAATTCAAAAATTAGGCAAGGCAGAGTTACGGTTCTTGTGCACTGCACACCTACTCAATGAGATCTATCTACCTACAAAGTTTCATGTTGATACCTCTTGTTGTTTCAAAGTTATGTCCCGGACAAGAAAAGGGGACGGACGGACGGACGGACGGACGGACAAGGCGGCGACTATATGCTCCCCCGAAATTTTTTCGGGGAGCATAAAAAACACTCATACTTTGAAGTTTGTTTGGCAGAATATTTTTCAGTCTTATAGTTGACTACTATTTGTTTCTTAAAATTTTACAGATTAAGTCGTATGTCCTTAATCCTACTGTAATGTATATGACTTTTTGAAATCAAAATTATCTTGTTTAAAACAATATCAAGTTTTGTACTGCCAAATAAAATATATGTTGCAAGCCAATTATGGAAATCAACATTACATTTCTCTTTAACATAATTATGATTTTGTAACAAGAATTGTTTTATTATTGGGCAATAGCAAAACAGGTGAGCAAAGTTTCTGATTCCTTTTGACAAAATGTACAGGTATCATCATCGATAATATTCATTTTTGTTAAGTAAATAGTTTGTTACCAGGATTCGTTGGTTGATTCTAAATTGTAACCATATGATATTTTTATCTTTGTTATATCTTTGAACCATATCATATATTTAACTATTTTGTAAAGAAAAGGTCCGAAAATGCCGTCAAATTATTTTTCAATTTTTGTAAAGGGTTTGGATACTGGTTTGTAGTTTGCATTGCTTTATAGATAGATCTACAACTTTTTTTATCTTTATTTAAAATAATCAGGCTATGAGGAATGTGGATAAAATAGTTCAGCTTCTGGGGCAAATGTAAAATGTTATTAATTTCTAGGTATTTTTAAGGCATTTACAATACCCCTACATTCTAAAAAAATACTTCTGATATTGAAGTTTGCAGTAAACTCATCATAAGAATAAAATTCACCATATTGATCTCCTAAAAACAAGATTCCTCTTGAAATCCACCTTTGCAAATATACACTTGAGTTACCAACTTTAATTTCTGGGTTTTTCCATATATGAACTGAACAACATTGTTTGCTGTTTTCAGGTTTTAAGTTTACAGAAAGGGTAAATGAACTGTATAAAACATCTTTCCTGAATGAATTGATTTATTTATGAAGTTTTGACTTAATAAAGTCTGTACCAAATTTAAATATTTGACTTATGAAGGGACATGTACCATCGATAAAACTACAGTAACTGAATTTACTATTTGAGTTGATCAGTCTTCGTAGCCATGTCACTTTTAAACTATTAATAAATATTCTCAAATCTATCATTTTGAGTCCTCCATACCTGTCTTGTGTTATAACCTTTCTTTTTAATATTGTCATGAGATTCATTCCATAGGAAATTGAAGAATAAGTTTTGAATCATATTGCTTTTGACTAAAGAAGGATTTGGAATACTTAAATTCAGATGATTTAGTTTTGCTAGTGCAAGGGATTTTATTACTACAATTTTACCTATAGGCGAAAGGATTTTTTTCTTTGACCGATTTGCAAATAGTTTTTTAATTTCTTCAGTTTTTAAATCATAGTTTATGTCTACTATTTCTGAGAGATTATTGGAAAATCCGACCCCAAGAACAGTAAATACTTCATCATTCCATGCTAGATTATATTCTTGACGAATAATGGTGTTACTTTTTTTCCTTGACCCAATCCATATTGCCTTAGTTTTCTCTGCATTTATATTCAGGCCTGAAAAATGATGCAAAGTATTATCTAGAGATATAATTTCTGTCTCTGTTAACTTAAACAGGTGTTCATAGTGGTGATGTTTTGTCTCTATAAGAATTTCATTTTGTGATTTTTAGATGTTGACCTTTATCTGAAATAAGTGAGTTCATAAGCTTAGAAACATAGTTTCTGTTTTCTAGATTACAGAAATACCGCACGGGCTTCATGTAGCCATTTTGCGTTAGATCTAATAAATTAATTTTTTTCTTTCTTAATTCTGAGAGTTCTCTTTTTTTTTGTTTTCTAGATGTTGGAAATTTATGTTTGTATCTTTTTCAATCTTTTCAATTTCTTTCTTCCTTATTTGCCTCCAATTTTGTCCTACTTGAAGCATGACTTAATGTTAAATAAGAGAGTTTCAAAAATAACTGATCATTTATATTGAAAAGCAAGTCTTGTGATGGAATATTATCTACCTCATGTATATTGTCTGGTTGGTCAGCTATGTACCGTATCTTTGTATCATTGATAGTCTTTTTTTTTACCTTATCTATATATATTTCATCCCTAAGTAAGGAATTATTAAACTTCCAATATGACAAAACTTTTTTAAATTTACTAAATTCTAAAGATATGAATATACGAGAATGATCAGTATGAGATCCGGGTAAATTAACAGTACTATCAATATCAGTATACAAATTGTTCGAAATAAGAAAGAAATCTTGGCGTGCCTTTTTGATAGGATTTTTCCTAAGCCATGTATATTCTCTTTTTTCAATATTATTCTCTCGCCAACAATCCATCACGTTATACATAATATTAATGACCTTGTCTCTGGCATTCGGATTATTTATGTGTAAATAATTGTAACTCTCTTTGTCTGGATCAAGTACTAAGTTAAAATCCCCTGCCAAAAAATAAATATATATATATATAAAGAGTCCTCAAATTTGGACAATTTTTTCAAAATCCTTTTCATAAAAATTTGGATTGTCTCTTTTTGGTCCATAAATGTTTACAAGTGTAATATCTTTCTCATATATATTGCACTTCAAGATCAAAAGGTTACCATTATCATCCTTTTCGATGTTCTTTACTTTGCATTCAAAATTGTTATTTATGAAATTTGCAACCCCTCGTGACTGGCTACTAAAGTTAAAAAAATATGTATCATAGCCCCAAGTAGAGCGTATGTACTTTTCGTCTTTAGTAATAAAATGAGTATCTTGTAAGAAACATATAGAATATTTTTTACTCTTCAAAAAAATTATAACATCTCTTCGCTTGCTTCTGTCACCCAAACCCTACGCATTCATGGAGACTTTAGAAACTTTTCTACTCATAATTAAATATCAAAGCACCAGATTGACTTAAAAGACATGTGAAGATTAAACAAAATCTCCAAGAAGATTGATAGTATAAAAAGTTATTGGAATTATATTGGTGCACATTTATCTTTTAGGGAGGAGCAAATTTCACCATGCGTTGTAGGGAAGCCATCCACCAGAACCTTGCCGAGACAATTCTTTAGTAAGCTTGGATTAAACATATATATTTTATATGACTGTGCTAATCTCTGGAAGTAAAGTATACAATGTATAAAATGTTCTAGTTTAATTATTAAAAAAAACTTTTCCATTATTTATTTAAAAAAAAAAACATACTGTTCGGCCTGTGCCGCCATTTCTTTGGCTACTTTTGGAATTTCTATACAAATGGTTACGATTTGGAAGTTCTGCACTGATGTTCTTTTCTTTGTTTCTGAAAAGTAAATAATAAATAAGGTTTGCGTTATCAAATTCTTGACAAATTACACGGTCGTATATAAACGGTCAGTTGCAATAAAACCCATCTTAAATCTTTCATTCTATATACAAACAATCGCTTATATTTGGCAATTTAACCTGTCAAAAATCTTTATACCTGATGTAATATACGTCACTAAAATAACGTAAAAGAAAGATTAAATTAGTTATGAAACGTAGTTATTGTTAGGATATGAAAAGAATATCCGGCAGAATATCCCTAACAATATCAAACTCACCCTTAGACAGCACCCTTTTTATATAAATTGAATTTTAAAGCACTCACTGCAAACACAAAATAAGCAGATACTGACCGCAGGTTGAAACAAGCTATTGTATAATTATACCTAACATTGTGTAAAGTTACTTTCCAATATAAATCAATGTAAATTGGTAGGAAAAAGTTTGACAAATAAAGAAACAAGACCAAACCTCTTATGAGGGTCCCAATATTCGACACGAAAAAAACCCTATCAAAAATGTATCTTGTTATTTATTAATTGACTCCTATGATTGATTCTTGAAACTTGTGGTTGGGTCTACCACCAGAGTTATGAACTCGGGGAATTATCGTTTTCCACAATTGATTAGAGTATTGTCATAAGCATTTGTCTACATGAAGCATATGATTCTGAGGAAATGACCAATGCTGATCTCAGTACATGCTTGATATAATTGTTAGTACATTGTTACACCGTACTGTTGGCCGTGTGTAAAAGTTGAACCCCAAAGTGTGTTACACAGGTACATATGCATTTTTAACATCAGGCAGACGGCTGCACCTTTGGTTCATAATATTTCAAAATAATATATGTAAGTTTATGGCAAATGTGATCTAGAAAATAAAGAACAAGTATGTAAAATGTATAAAGTCGACTAGCAATAGCAGACGATTGATTATTTAAATTCGTTTATCTAAGGGTTGCAATTTGCGATTTACAATACATTATAAATATGTTTTATTCTCACGTATTTCTCTCAAAGGATGTTGGACTCTCAGTATAAAATATGTATGGTGCGTATTGTGTGAATAATACATTAGATAACATATTATTTAAGTCTTACCCATAAACGTATTTTGCTAATAATTGTAGAGATTGAATGTCACACATATTTCAATCTAATAATAGCCCAGTTCCTTATACGATAGGATATGTTGTGGATCCTTTAATAATTGGAATTTACCTTATTTCTAGACATTTTAAAGGGAAGTAACATGTCTGAATTAATTATTTGTACATGCAGTTCTTTCTATGTTGAATATTTTAGATTGAACAAAACTTATGTTGTGTAAATCTGCCATCACTGGAGAAAATGAAACATTTTAGATGGCTATCAAGATGGGTGCCATATTATAAGAATTAAATTATCATACTTAACAGTATCGTTAGTGCATAATGAGATGAAATGCACGTTCATTTATGGCAGGAATAATTTTCAAACACGTTAAACTTTATAATATTTTTAGAAACATACGAAATGTTAGTACGAGGAAGATAATCTATTTCAGAATTCTCTTGCAGAGTTATATAACAGTTACATTAATAACAAGACGAAATAACATATTTAATTTTTACAAATGGGTTTTAAATCTAAATCAATTTGAATATTATACCCAACTAATCAGCATTTAGTCTACAACCGTGCACACTGCATGGAATATCTTCTAAAACTTACACAAATAGATACCTTAAACTTGTAGAAATACGCTGACACATCTCAAAATATGTTACTTAAACATTCTATCATAGTACAAAGTTAAATCCTCACTTTGAACACTCCTTCTTTTAATATAAGTATGTTTTTGAAGTGTAATACTTTCCCTTTTTCTTTTTTTTTTAATAATTTACAAACTGGAGGAAAACCACTTAAAATCTTGCATTATTCACAAGGAAAGGTATGTTTTATTTTCCTTGCTAATTAGAAGTACTCTGAAAGGCGGCGTTCAAAGAACGGAAGTCTTTGACAGAAGTGTTTGTAGTCTTAAGTCTTCCTTTTACAGTTAAATGTTAATTCTTATGTTTTAGTATTATGTGACAATGCCTGGGGAGAATCTTATTTCACTGATTAGATGCTTCACCCTTTAGCAACTGATATCATGAACATTTGTGAAAATCACAAATTACTTAAAATACCAGCAAAATTATATAAGATACAAACGGCTCATCAATTTTATGATTTCAAGTAAGAAACAAAAGCTGTTTTATCCTACTAATATGTCCTAATCAGTCTCAGTTTGAGAATTAAGTGTTATTAAATATTGTAATTTAAAACATAAAGGACCAACTATCAAAACAGAACAGAACAAGTTTTTGTAAATAGTACATTATTGCTTTCCATACAACTTCCAAGCACATAATTATCATTTCATTTGTCTCTAAAATTATGGTAAACTATTTATAGTTTATTCATAAAAAAGAGAAGATCACAAATTTTTACAATCAGTTAAAATATTGACTATTCTCTTTTAGTATTTCAATTAAATTACCTGGTTATAATAACATCAATAAATTATTTTTATTTCTAATATCTTCAACATAAAACTAATAGTGATATTATATTGATAGAAATTATTAACATTACAACTTAGAAAAGTAAAAATGATACATTAAATATTAAATAAATAAAATACAGTTTAAAACATTTCTTAAAAAAGCCTACACAATTAAATTATTATCAACAGAAATTATGAAACAATAACAAAATCTGAAATAGAACATCTATTTTCTTTGTGAATCTATTTTTATTTTGACAGTCTTAAAGATATTTGTTGAAATAAAAGGCTACTGCAATACAAACTGAAACACTGTCCAGTGAATTAATGGTCTAGTGTACAAGGAGTGAATTTTAAAGTGCACTTGATGTGCACATGGAAGTGCACTAAAAGTACACATGAAGTTAATTTTAATATTTCTTTTCTGAAACATACTTATAGCTAAAACTACTTCTATAAATATTTTTATTTTATTTCTATTTGTTGACCTTAATATTGTAGTATTGCAGTAGCCTTTTATTTCAACAAATATCTTTAAGACTGTAACCAGGTAATTTAATTGAAATACTAAAAGAGAATAGTCAAAATCCTAATTATGGTTAGAAAATGTCCATGTCAAATCTTCCAGAGGAATCAAAATCAGTAAAGATTTCACATTTATTTCATTTCTTTTAACATTTAAATTTAAAACAAAGTCATGTCTGTAACTCGGCGTTTGTAGCACAATGGAGGGTTATTTCATTGTTATTTGTGTTATTACGCAGTTGGTTATGAATTAATTTTATTGCTGCGCAAGGCGGGTTACATGACGGGTAAATAAATGACCTTATTAACAAGTGACGAGATTTTTTATCATTTTGATATTGATTTTTAAAATCATAACTAAAACTGGAAAAAGAAATTCCCTAGCAAATTGTTTTATCATAGTTTTACATTGTGTACGTCACTCCGTGGCTCTGAAGAACATGTAGAGAGACAGAATATTTTGTTTTCTGAGTTTAAAAGTCTCATCCTAAATAGAAATCAACATCCTATGATACTCATTTGCACTTTTGAATCAGTTGATTGATCCACGCCAACATCTAAACGGCTTAAGTCAGAAAAACTTGCATAAAATACAGGCTTTTGGAGGAAATTTGTATTAAATGTATGACATCTTTGTTTTTGTTTTACTAGAAACCAATGTTCAGTAACGAAAATATAGTTATTACTGTTAAATTAACAAGATTGCATTTGAGAAAAATGCTATGCCACCGCATGGTTCAAATTTCATAGCTGTACATCAAAGGACAAGAAAGTAGGTCACATCATCAAAATCTAGGTCACCTGATATCAAAGTTCACTTTTACAACTAAAACTCTGCACATGGTCAAAATGTCATTGCTGTACATCAAAGGACAAGAAAGTAGGTCACTGTCCCCTTGGGCAAGGCATAATTTTGACCCAAGTGTTTAATTCAAAACAATCTTGATACAGGTCCACCAAACAACAGTTCAAGTCAAATATCTAAGCTATAGCTTTCTCCCATTCAGAAAACATTTGTTTTATTTTCTGTTTTTACTATGTGTACATAATGAGGGGTAGGGCCAATTTTGACACCAGGGGAAAAATTTGAACAACTTTGGTAGAGGACTGATAAATGATATTATATATATCACACATCAAAGCTTTATGCCTTGTACCTTCAGACAAAAATATTTTTTTATTTTTTCACTATATGTACATAATGAAAATCAATGACCCACGGGGCAGAACCAATTTTGACCCCAGGGCTTTAATTTGAACAATCTTGCAAGAGGTTCACTACACAATGTTTCATGCAAAATATCTTAACTCTAGCCTTTGTAAATTTAGAGAAGATGATTTTTTAAGTTTTTACTATATACATTTAAGGAAAAACCTATGGCCCCCGGGGGCGGGCTAATTTTGACACAAGAGGCAAAATTTGATAGACTTTTGTAGAGTACCTTTAGATGATATTATTTAACAAATATTAAAGCTCTAAGCCTTGCACCTTCAGATAATAAGATTTTTTTTTTTACTATATGTATATATTGAAATCAATGACCCCCAGGGCGGGGGCAATTTTGAACCCAGGGCTATAATTTAAACAATCTTGCTAGAGGTTTACTACACAATGTTTCATGCAAAATATCTAACCTCTAGCATTTGTCAATTGCTAGAAGAATTTTTTTGGAAGTTTTTATTATAAGTTTTTACTATATATATATATATAAGGAAAACCAATGACCCCCGGGGCGGGGCCGATTTTGACCCCAGGACTATAGTTTGAACAATCTGGGTAAAGGTCTACCAGACAATGCCTTATACGAAATATCTAAACTCTAGGCCTTTTAGGTCTTTACAAGAAGGTGTTTTAAGTTTTTACTATATGTACATATAGTGAAAATCAATGACCCTGGGGCGGGGCCGATTTTGACCCAAGGGCTTTAATTTGAACA